AGGGGATTTTGGAGCTTTTGGCATAGTCTCAGGGCCTTTCAGTCCAGATTCGTTGCAGGACAGTTAGGGGTCCATCTAAAACCCAAGGTATGTGGATTCTTAGAATCCTTCAGGAAGGAGGAACATATTGTTAATTCCTATCATCGGGTCCAGAGAGAGTTTTGTATTGTGTTCTCAGGAAGGTATAAGTGTCTCTGGAGAAGGCGATCAGTATTCCTCCAGATGTTGTGGGTATGTCAACTTCTACTGCTAATAGATGGATGATGGGAATATGTATCACTTTAGAATTGTGAGTGAGTTTTGATAGGTCAGATCTCGGGTCAGTTTTCTGCTAGTGGTTAGGTTATCAAGGATCTTATATGCCATCCTGCACGCTGAAAATTCCTTGATGAACCCACAGAGGGATGCATATTGCAGAGTAGGTTATCATTCTGGATCTTTGTCAAGATTTGTCCAGGAGTATTATTTGGGAGATCCTTGGTTGGGAATTGGTGGGATGGTTCTCTAGTGAAGTCAGAGTTTAGTGATTCGATTATTTATTTGTATATGGTCGAATATGTCTATGGATGAACTTTGGAGTTTAAGGCACTACTATTTCTAAGATAGGATTAGTAGCACGAAGATGGTGATGTCAGTTGCGGGTGTAAGATGCAGAAGTAGTTGGTCCTTGGATGTTCAAGAGAATTGCATTTTTCGCGTGGGTTGTGTTTGGTTAGAGTTCAGTGATATTGCAAGAATGAAAGTGGGAATAAGGATTCTTCAACCGAAGTGAAGATTAGAGGCTCTAGTTGTCAGCATGGGAGGTGGACTGAGGTGTCAGACTTGACCAGGTTTCAAGAGTACTCTTCAATATTTCAGAGGATGGACGATCTTAGGGTGTAACCGGTGATTGATGGCTAGCATTAGTAAGAACATGTTGTCATCAGTGGGATACTATATAGTGAGAAGGGTTGGGAATCCTTCAAGTCTTGCGTGTTGTTAAGACTTAGTCGAATCTAAGTGGGGGAGAGACTTTTTATAAAGTTCTCCAATGTGAGTTTTTGTTCCGTGCGGTGCAATATCTTGGGCACCTTGTCAACCAGAAGAGTATTCTAGTCGATCTGGCCAAGATAGAGGTCATGATGTTCCTTTGACCCGACTGACCAGGAAATCGGTGGCCTTTCGCTGGGGACCTGAGTAGCAGGCATCCTTCGAGTCTCTCAGACAACGGTTGTGCAAGTCACCGATTCTCACCCTGCCAGAGGGTGTAGATGATTATGTGGTTTACTGTGATACTTTGATCACAGGAATGGGTGTAGTATTGATACAGTGGGGTCATGTGATAGCAGGTTTTGGGAACGATGTTAGAGTTCCAGTTAGGGCTCAAGTTTAATGGTTTATTAGGTCGAGTGTGTGTTCGACCCGTTTTGTAAAGTGTTGTAAGACTACGGGGGTATCCGTAGAATTCACTAGTGGTCAGTTAGTATGGGAAGTGTTGTAATACTATGGGGGTAGCCTTAGCATTCACTATTGGTCAGTTAGTATGAGAAGTGTTGTAAGACTGCGGGGGTAGCCATAGCATTCACTAGTGGTCAGTTAGCATGGGAAGTGTTGTAAGACTATGGGGGTGGCCGTAGCATTCACTAGTGTTAAGTTAGCATGAGAAGTGTTGTAAGACTACGGGGGTAGCCTTAGCATTCACTAGTGGTCAATTAGCATGGGAAGTGTTGTAAGACTGCGGGGGTAGCCGTAGTATTCACTAGTGGTCAGTTAGCATAGGAAGTGATGTAAGACTGCCGGGGTAGCCGTAGCATTCAGTAGTGGTCAGATAGCGATAGAGTGTTGTGAGAATGTGGGTGTAGCTGTAGCATTCACTAGGTTAGTAGATGGCATGAGCGTGTTGTTAGAACGCAAAAGGAATAGTAGCAGCCAATAGTTTTGGTGTACCAGTGAGGATATGGAAATCCACGGATTGGATCTCGGAATTACCCAGTGGATTAGATCTGGTTGAGCCAGTGATAAGACTGTAGGAACGTCACTACAATTATGAGATAAAGGAAGCAAGAGTTTGGTTAAGGTCGTTTGTGATATAAGCCTACCATTGGTCATGTAGCAATCACTTTTAGCCTTGGATTCAGTAACGTCAGGATTCAACGCATGGACCTGATCGGTTGGATCAGGAGGTTGTTAGAGCCATAGTGGCAACTAGTCCCAGAGAAGGATTTCGTTAAGAAGTCAAATAATTAGGGAGCCCTTTGGTTCTGCAGCCGAGTCGAAACCTGGTGTTTCAGATGATTGGTGAATGAATTGAGAACAGGGAGGCCTCATTAGATTTTGGAAAGCAGACACGTGGCAACATGCTACTTTAGGCAGTTCAGTGTTCGGGCAGTTTCTGCATTTGGGTAGTGTTAATATTTGTGTTTTAGGTTGCAAGTACGGACGTAATAGGTGGTTAATTGGGAAGTGATAAGTAACTCGTTGTGGGATTAAATAATCTCAGAGTAGTTGATTTGACTCTGTTGCACAACTCTCATATGAGTCTAACAATTTCACGGATGAATCTTCTACTCGAAGGATTATCTGATCATGTCAGGTTTAAATATTCTGTAGCCGTTTATGGACAGTGACATGCGCTCTTTTCGGTAGCAGTGTGATGGTGAAAGTTTGGTCTAAGAGGTATGAAAGGGAGCCGGATTACTGAGACCTTATGTAACATCCCAAAATTTGAGGCAAAAAATTTCGTTTCTTCAATTAAGTGATTTATAAATTGTTTATCAAAACATTGGCTAGATCATGTGAATACATAAAGCCATACTATCATGTTTCAAACCAAATCATCTTGAGGTAACAAAATATCAGAGTACAATCCTAGAAAAATCCAAGCGGAAATCATGTGTGTGTGTGTGATGCGCTGCTACAACGCCGACTCTTTCCCCTTAGATGAAGAAGTACCTGAAACCAGAAACTAAAACTATAAGTACGAAGCTTAGTGAGTTCCCTCATCATACCACATACCATACAATCACATAGCATATATACTGCTGGGCAATTCTGGGGCGCCCGTCCTACCCATGTAAAGCTATTCTGGGGTGCTGACCTACCCATGTCAAGCCATTCTAGGGTGCTAACCTACCCATGTCAAGCCATTCTGGGGTGCTAACCTACCCATGTCAAGCCATTCAAGGGTGCTGACCTACCCTCCGGTGTATCTCAACCGTACACGGGGACTATTTCACCCCTACTACTAACACATAAAATCATATCATAATCATGCTGTCAGACATATCTGGGGTGTCCCGACGTAGGCATTAGTCCTAGCGATCGAATCGGGGACTAGTACCCCTTCTACTAATACTATCTCACATACATAGTAACTAGCAAACTAGCATACTCACATATCTAGCAATATAGCATAGTGACATATCCAACAATAACAGAGCAGACAATTACCACAAAGATAATCATCCCAACTAAAAATTACTAGTGGGCCGACCTTGGTGCCTTAGACCCATTTCTACTGGAAGGTAACTCACCTCGATGTCGTGTAGTGTCTGAACTGTCCTCGGCATGAAGGTCGACTCTCATCGACTCCTCAACCCTTACACGATAACCCCCAAGTCATCAAAACATAACATACAACCCTAACCCGAGTAAATACCAAAACCAGGAGAAGTGAACATTGGTCAAAGTCAACACCCAGTTGACCTGACTCGCCGAGTTGGTCTACCAACTCGTTGAGTCCAAACTCCATTAACTTGATCCAACCTCGACTTCACTCGTTGAGACTAGTAAGAACTCGACAGGTTCTCCTTCATTCAAACCATCAGGACCATCTTCATCAGACTCACCGAGTTGTATGAACAACTCGTCGAGCCCATATTCAAAGAATGGGAGATTGCCTTGGACTCGACGAGTCTATTATAGCACTCGTCGAGTCCCAGGAATTGCATGTCCAAGGCAAACCCCCTAGCAGGCTGAGCGTTCCTTTCACTCAACCAAAACCATTCCAGAAGACTTTTTGGGGAAAAAGCATCTCGACTTGCCGAGTCACCCAAGTGACTCTCCGAGTTCCTCTTTGTCCGATACTATACAGTCGATTTCAGTGGGACTTAACACACCAAAACCATAGATCTGGCTTCCTAATGTCCATTTTACACATAAAGTTCCAAACTTGGTACACATGCAAGGGGTCTTTGGCCCAAAAAGCCATAAAAGATGGCCTCCAAGGTGCATGGGGTGTTCATGCAAACAAAATGGGCACCTTTGTGCCTTAAAACCCCCCAATAGACCAAGATCTAAAGCATACACTGACTTCCAACACTAAATCCTGAATACAACCTCTTTAGGGTTAAGAAAGATGAAGGAAAAAGGCCCAAAATCAAGATCTATAGATAAAGGTTCAGCTTCATACCTCCAATAAGTTGAAAATGAGCTCCAAACTCTGGATCTTCTTGTTTCCCCTTAGCCACACAAGCTCCTTTCCTCTTCTCAAGCTTCACAATCCACCAAAAAACACCAAAATGGCCTTAAAACACAAAAAACAGCTAGGGTTTCGATAAGATGTCTTTTGGGAGTATATGGGATGATGGAGGCTGAGATAAGGTGTTTAAATAGGGTGAAAAACCTCAATTTAGGGTTTACCCAAACATCACCTACTCGCTGAGTCAGTCTTTTGACTTGTCGAGTAGGTGACTTAAATTATCCGCGGATCTCGACTCTACTCGATGCGTACGGCCTCCAACTCGTCGAGTCCTAGAGAAAAACATAAGAAATGCTTGAATAATAGGCATACCAGGTATCAGGTGTTACGAATCTCCACCACTTATCTTAGACTTCTTCCTCGAAGTCTGCTACTCGATCCTGAAAAAGTTCGGGGTAATGCTCCCTCATCTCGTCCTCCGACTCCAAGTTGCATTCCAAGCCCTTGCGGTGCTGCCACTGGAACTTTACCAGCTCCACCCTATTGTTCCTCAGATCCCTTGACTTCCTGTCAAATATCGCCACTGGCCGCTTGATGTAGTTCAGGTTATCATCAACCTGAATATCCTCCAAAGGCACCACCGCCGAATCATCTACCAAGCATTTTCG